GCAAGGGAAGATGAGAGTGAGGCGCTTCCTGATATTCGCCACCGTGAAAGAAAAGAGGAAGATATCTGAATATCTGAACATCTAGATATTATGTAAATTGCAGATGTTCACAAATCAGACCGGTCTCATTCGCTCGATCTGTACCATGCAGATGAAAAAAACTATAAAATTACCCCATACAGTATATTTTCATAGTTTTTAACATTATTTGAGCTTTAATAATTCATTAAAAGCAGTCAGGCTTTCTTTTTCTTCTTTCTAATTGTACATTAATTATTTTTTTGCTTTTTCTCTTCATTTCTTCGACAAATTTTTAGTTTTGTCATAGAGTCGATGATCTCCACGTTTTACCCGATGAGTTTACTAGCTAATGTAGAAGGTGATGATCACTAAATTTTCAGTGAAGCTCCATGAGCCGAATTTTGTCTGACGGTAATGTCTTGATAAGACTTCCACTTCTTTCATGTTAATTCTTTAAAAAATCTTTTCCTGCCTCATTGTATCTGGTTCAATCCATGATGAGTATCTCGTTAGACCATTATGGCTAGGAATAAATGCTGGACTCTTCGCTGTTCCAAGCGGCCATTACAAATATCTATTTCTATAGTTATAACGAAAACCAGCTTTCATCGAAAAATTTTGCTTCTCGATGCGCTAAACTTTTGACAGTAACTTTCAAATATTATGCGCAATTTAAAACAAGAATAGGAGCTCATGAAGTTTTTTCATTCAGTATCTGCAAAAATCAGCCAATAGACGTTCAGTAGCTAGTAAATTCGTCAAGGAAGCGAGTTGGAATCTCAGAGTCGAGGGACTAATAGGTTTTATTTGTTCTCGGTTTTGAAAACGTCGGAAATTCTTTTATTTCCTTCGCAGTTCAGTTTTGCTGTGTTCTCAGGTTATAAAAGCTAAAAGGATACGTGCGGCGAATTAGAACTACATGTAGGGCTTGTCTTTTTCCATGACAATAACCCGATTGAAACCAGAAGTGTCGATCTAGATCAGCGAAACGTTTAAGTCCTACCAGGATTTTAGTTTTTAAACCTTTTCGTAGAATTTCATCGCATAGAGCATAGTTCAGAAAGTGTGCAGAAAAAAAATATCTTTGTTAAAGGTGAAAGTTCGTCTAGGAATTTTTATTTTACCTTTACGATTTTTATTTTTTTGAGCATGATGTTGATCGTCTCTTTAATAATTTTAGGAATAATATAGTAAAGTAATGGAGCGGAGCGCAAGGGATGTGTTTTAGTCATACTTATTTCAACGCCCGAAGCGTGGAAAATCAAGGTCTCACTTGACTCTCAATTTGAAAAGGACACCCTGGGTTATCAGTCTGTGGAAACAAATCAATACAATCCTATTGGAAAATTTTTACAAGAGAGCTAGTTTTCTAAAGATCCTCTCGAAAACCTGTTCCAGAAAGCTCTCCTGGGAAAATGTTTGGTTATGAAAACATGTCCCCGAATCTTCTCTTTCGAATGGTGAAAATTGAAGCTCTTTAGCTTTTTCCTATCGAAAGTTATTCAAAAAACAGTCATATACCATTCTTTTTTTGGATGGACAATAGCAAGCTTTTAATTCGACTATTCTGATACAATAGACGATGATGTAACTATGTCAGATCATATAGAAGATATGAAAAGTCTTAGTGAAGATAACGAACAACCTGAAATGGAAACACTTTTAGCTGAAGCAAAATTAACAGATGATGTAGTTTTTTGTATTCTGCACCATTCTGTTGATCATACAACATGGACCACTGGATCTGCTAGTATGGCTTCAAAATGTATTATCAAATGCTTTCAAATAAAGGTAGTTTAGGCCAACAGTTGATGTGCGTATGAAATTTGTTGCTGCAGCATGTTCTGTGTCCGATTATTTCGTGAAATTTCCAGCTATGAAAATTCCACAACTTGTAAGCAATAAAAATTTAGTTTAGTGAAATAATTCCTTCTCGAAGTCTAATAAGAGGGTAGCTAGAGTTAAAAATGTTCACGACCAACAAGATAAACACTACAGTTTTTATTTTCCTACATGTGTAGCCTGAAATTGTCTTTGCACAGTAAGAATTTACTATTTTCTTCCATTTACACCATAAACATTAGGTTTTACAGGAACTAAACTTAATCAGTATATAGAAAAATCTCTAGAATTAATTTCGTTAGAGCTAAGTGATGTTATACCAAAAATTATGGAACTAAAAGAAAATATATCAGTAACTGATAGTGATGTGCACATCATCATCGATAGGTTGTAATGAAACACACAAATATTTACTTTATCATTTTAAATCCAAGTGCATTTCGAGCGCTTAGTATTGTATTAGCATATTTTAAAGAAAGTAAACAATATATTATTGTGGACACGAAAGTAAGCGACCGATCCCGATATTGTTTTTCTCTAAAGGATGTAGGGAAAGCTTTTCGAAAGGAGAGAATAGTCTAGAAGAAATCAATAACCCTTCTATATTGAACAGGAGCTTTTATTCTTTAGCATAGACTGTCAAAAAGATCTAAGCCGTAGAAAATCTAGCAGTTCTAGAGCTTTCAGTTTGTGCTCCAGCTAAGAAAATGCGTGGTGCATGTTTTTAGGGAAACTCACTTACTATTAAGTCGACAAAGTCGAAAATAATGAATGATGCCCTTTCTGTACTAATCCTAAAAAGAAATATAAATAACTATTGTTTTTTGACCGTTATGAGGTCTACTATCTATCCCAAAATATAATACATTCGGTTGCTTTCTGAATAACTTAAAAACAATAGAAGATAGATGTCCAGCTTTTAGCAGTCAAAAGACGACAGTTAAAGCTATACTTTCATAAGCAAAACCGTCCTTCAAAAACCTCCAAAAGATCCGTTTTCTACAAGATCTTTAGAAAACTGCTCGGATTTCCAGACACCGGCAGAGTAATCTATGGTTCTTTTCCCGTAGAATGAGAGTCCGAAGTATCAATTATAAAATAAGATCTAAGCAAAACTTTGCTTTAGTTCATTCTTCTTGTGCATCTTCGATTTCTCCCTGATAAGCGTAAAACCTACTTTTCAAAGTGAAACCGGTAACTAACAGTAGTATTTCAGTATATCGGTGGACCATTTGGCGACTATATGCATTCAACAGTATATCTGAAGCTGATAATTAACAAATAATTGTTACGTTTGTGAAATTAAATCAAATGGAATCACGGTACTATTCAGTACAAATAATATTTCTGTTAATTGTTTGCAGTTTATTTGTTATCTTTTTGAATAAATATAGGTCATATTCACCTGTTCAAACTGGTAGCTAATAATGATAAATTACTCATACTAAGTAATTAACCAAATAAGTCAGTTTAATGTATCTAAAGGAAGAGTCATGTTTTGACACTATGTCACTTGTGATAATCCTCGTAATAATCAAAACTGGTCAATTTTTAGAGAAAAAAGCGATGTTGATATCGTAAACATGAAACTTGCTTTTCAAAGTAAAATTGGTAACAAACAGTAGTATTCAATGGTCAATTCGACAATTTTTCTACACTTATTTCCGAACATTTTCGCGCCTTTTTATCACCCACATCGATTTTTAAGTCAAAGTGATCACAAAATGTTCGACATCTTTTGCTTACCTTTGTGAAAAAATTTAAAATATAACTATGGAACCATTATCTTTCAACCTCACCTGTACTCTTTACATTAATGACCCACATTTTGTCATAGTATAGAATATATTTGTCTGTGACCTCTCAGCCACTTGTTTCAGAGGTATTTCGATCAGTCTTTTCGACTGGTCGCGCAAGGATTCGACGTGGGCTCGGAAGTCCCTAGGATCGCTGTTCGACGGCTCGCCATCTATCGAAAACTCGAAAGCTCAGAATCAATAACCTCGCAAACGCTTACGTTGAAGGTCCGTAGTCTCATTTTTCGAGGAGTCGAGCCCTCGGCGAGGGCCCATTTTTGAATACTCGCCGTATCCCTCGAACAGCTCTTCTGATCTGCATGAGGGTTTGCTATTTTTTCGAAAATATCTTTCAATTTCTCTATACTGATATGTTGCGGTACCTTTTTGCCACCGTTGAAGATTTTGATTTAAATATCTTTAAAATTATTTAGCAGTTGAACAGCAAATGCAGAATCGTCATAGAAAATGTTTTTTTTACAAGCATTTTGATCAGCTCTTAGCTACTTCAAATAATTGTACTGGTAAAAGTTATCTGATATTGGCATTGATGTTTTGTACCTGCCTTGTTTATCTGTATTATATATCAGTTGCGTAAACCGATGATTGAAAACATCAACTAACAACGGACAAATAAATGCAGAAAAATTACTCTAAATGAAAGACATGTTTCTCTTCCCATTTTTAAAAAAGAACGATGAATTACTTATACAAAGTAATTAACCAAATAAGTCAGTTTAATGTATCTAAAGGAAGAGTCATGTTTTGACACTATGTCACTTGTGATAATCCTCGTAATAATCAAAACTGGTCAATTTTTAGAGAAAAAAGCGATGTTGATATCGTAAACATGAAACTTGCTTTTCAAAGTAAAATTGGTAACAAACAATAGTATTCTATGGTTAATTCGACAATTTTTCTACACTTATTTCCGAACATTTTCGCGCCTTTTTATCACCCACATCGATTTTTAAGTCAAAGTGATCATAAAATGTTCGACATCTTTTGCTTACCTTTGTGAAAAAGTTTAAAATATAATTACGCGACCATTGTCTTTCAACCTCACCTGTACTCCTTACATTGATAACCCACATTTTTCCATATAGTCGGTCAAAAAAATTATTTTTTGTAATGAACATGGTTGCTAAGATTTTTCTAAACTCTTGGTACTTTATTTTGTGATGATAAATTCAGAAAAGATAAGAAAAGGAAAAAGTTCCCGTGTCATAGTGTAGTATATATGCCTGTGACTTTTTCTAGTTTTTCAAAAACATATTTGAATTTTTCTATACTCATATGCCTCTGTCTAGCAGTAACTTTCAACAATGTAAGTGTTCTTTATTTAGCTGGAATGTTTGTGCTTCTCAAATTTGGTTTTTTACTCATTTATAGACGGAAACTTCGTACCTGGCTTTGTTCACATTCTATTCTATTTGTCATCGTTTTTCGAATCGCTTTTGTTTTCCACGGTCAGTTATAGGATTTTTTCTATTCAGACAGTTATACCGAAACTGTTTATTTTGTTTGTTGTAGATAGGATGGTATAATTTGTACGTATACACACCATTACAGACTCACCTGTTTTTCTACATGGCGAAAATGCCTCGATTTGTTCATACTATCACAAATTCCATAACAGAATTTAATGCCAATATTGTCACGTATTCTCGAACGTTATTAATTATACCCATTGCTTGGCTTCTCAAATATGATCATAATATAGGGGTATGTTTATTGATACTCCTACACGATTTTCTCGATCATGTTGATGATATTGTGGCTAAAACACAAACACGAATCTATGGTGAAATTGATGATCGACTATTGAGCGGTTTCATGCACGCATTTTGCGATAAAATTGTTAATATATTCTGTTTATGGACAATATTGCTAGAAATAAATTTTTCACAAACATCTTATTTACAAACAATGGTAGTTATATGTTTATGCTACACGATCATTGGAGCAGAAACAGTACTTGGTATTGTCCGTATACAAGATTATTTTCATGCATCACTAGGGTAAAATAATTAAGATGAATAAACAGACCTAATTATATATTTCTTGTCCTGTTTCAGTGGACATAAGCAACTGTCAGAAACAGATACAACAGCAGCAGCAGCGATAGAAGGAAAACTGAAGAAGAAATTAGAATCAATGGGATTAGCTTTCCTATGCTTATCAACAGGATATGCAACGCCATTCAATCATTGGTGTAAGTAATAACGCTTTATCAATGATTTCCAAATACTGACGATAACGTTTTCTTCTAGCTGGCATTATGGGTGTCATTTGCTTTTCGTTAACAGTTCGATTCGCTTATGTTAATCTAACAGAAAAACTTCGTGCAAGAGAGAAAATAGACAAACTAGTCAATAAAGCAGAGCCATCAGCAATACAGCGTTCAATTAATATTATTAATGCAACAAAATCGAATTCAGAATCGACGACAAGTGGGAGAGCAATAACATTAGATTCGATATTAAGAGAGGTAAAATTATTCATTATTATTCATCCTGAGAACAAATGAATAGCACGTATCTTGTATTCTTTTAGTCAAAAACTAAAGCAAAATACCAGAGTAATAGTGCAAACTATAGTAGTAAAAATGTTACTCTGAATGAAAAATCTTTAGAAAATTTCCCGATCAATCATTCAGCAACAACGATGCGACAAATAAAAGAGGAAGACGAAGAAATGAGAAAACTTGGAGTGATCCGAAATGCATCGCTGCCAATAATTTGGATCGATGGACGAGCTGATAAAGTATATACAATTGGTTGTTTTGATTTATTTCATGAAGGACATCGATTACTATTGTTACGTATGAGGCAATTTGGTCGAGAAGTCATTGTTGGCGTTCATGATAGTCGTAGTATACACAAGCTAAAAAAACGTGTACCAGTTGACGGTACTGACAAAAGAATGTTAAACGTTAAACAGTATGCTGATCAAGTTTATTGTATATCAGGAACAGATCCCAGTGCATTCGTAAAGTGTATTGTCCATTTGAAAGAAAACGAATCGGCGTTGTATATACGTGGTGACGATATGGCCGATTTTCCATCGAGACATGTTGTAGAAAGTTTGATGCCCGTGAGATTTTTGCCTTACACAGCTGGTGTATCAAGTACAAAGCTAAGACAGGAACGTTATTCACATATACGCTCAGACGACCTTGAACATTTGGAAATGATCAATTAAAATGACGAAACTATTCGCAAATCACTCAGTTATTCTATGCAGCCAGTCTACAGAGAATTTGGTTAAAACAAACACAGACAGCAACGACTCATCAACAAAGTTTTGCATAGAAAATGATTGTCCTAGTATAAGTACTGTCCATATAATACGAAGAAATTTCACTTCCAAAATGTCAACGAATCTCACTATGTTTTCGTACAACTTTATTCTTTTATCTGTTTTAATGTATATAATACATTCTATAGAATATTTAGTATAATTATGTACTTTTATTTGTAACATATTTTTCTTCTAAGAATAAAAAAGTTTTTATAAACTTACAATCTATTAGTGTTGTATAAATACAAGACAATATTAATTTGCACAATAAGTGGTACGAGTTATTCAGGCATCAAATGTCGTGATACTACTGTTGTGAAGTCAAATATTCATCGCTTCGAAGAAAATATGACCGTTACATCGTACATGTTCTGTCTTTTTCATTTTCCTTCTCAGACTACTGAAGATTTTGTGGATTATTTCAATCTGTCTTAGAACAGCAACTCTGCTAACCGTTTTCATTCTCTTGCACGAATTATGATTGTTTAAGAGTTCTGTTGTTGTAGACAACGTTTATTTAGAAGCTAAGTTCTTTAGATTTCACATAAAAAGGACTTGAATTCAAAGAGTTTTCTCTCAAAACTGTAAATTGCTGACTGCATTTACGAAGTTAAGCGTGAGTGTAGTTATGTGAGAACATCTTTTGTTTAGAACAGTCTTGATGTATATTAGTGCGAGTGATCATTAACAATGAAAACGAAAAAAACTTCATAAAATTAGATTTCTTGAGCATAAAAAAGAATTTCGTCTAACTTCACTCTCTAGCACAATGTGGCTTTATTATTCTAATAGGAATATAATTCTCCATCCATGTCACAAACGCAGCACACAAACCTTTTTATCTAAGATGGTGATATACCTTTTCCATAGAAAACGATTCTCATTTTCCGGTGAATTAAGATGATCTATCACAGGCAAAAGTTATAAGCTCCCATCTTAGAAAATGAAGGTCAACAGATGACATTAACTATAAGATTTGAAAATATGACTAAGATGTATTCAAAAAGATAACAAATAAACTCCAAACAATTAACAGAAATATTATTTGTACTGAATAGTACCGTGATTCCATTTGATTTAATTTCACAAACGTAACAATTATTTGTTAATTATCAGCTTCAGATATACTGTTGAATGCATATAGTCGCCAAATGGTCCACCGATATACTGAAATACTACTGTTAGTTACCGGTTTTACTTTGAAAAGTAGGTTTCATGTTTAAGATATCAACATCGTTGTTTTTCTCTAAAAATTGACTAGTATTGATTACTACTTGGATTATCACAAGTGACATAGTAAAATAAACGTTTTCTGTGATGTTCTGAATTTGTTGTTCAACTACCGATTAATTTTAAAGATATTTAAATCAAAATTCTCAACGCTAGCAAAAAGATACAAAGACATTTTCAGGTATCTCACCATTTTAACACGTACGACATTGATGCACAAAGTGACGTTATTGTCCACTATAGATAAACTATAGAAGATATAATTGGATTTTTTTTCTTTTAAAGATGGTACAAGATAGTGCAAAAGTTTTTTCCCATAAAATTTACAGAACATGCAGAAAATAAGAAAGATTAGAACTCCAACTACACTGCCTGAAATTTGAAAGACGTGAGAGACCGACGCGAGAGTCGCTCATACGACTCCTATTTGAAAATACGCTTATCAGGCAGAAACCAAAGATGCACAAGCTGAACGAACGAAACTACATTGTAAAAAATAAAGTGTGTAAATGACACACATAAAGTGAACGCCAAGTCGATTCTCGGTGACCGTCTAGAATAAACGGCGTAAGTGTATAAAGTACACACTGAGAAGTGTCCGCCTGGCTGTACACACTGAGACCAATGATATAGTCTACTTGTCGTAACTATCTGTGCTGGAAATGTCTGAGATTCATTAATCGACTGTTCAAATCTACCATATGATAATGTTTTTGTTCACGGTTTTTTCTTATCCGTTTTTGGAAATGAGAGTATAATATACTTTCAAAGATGGTGATCATCCTTCCGAAATTATTTATTCATTTGATGCAGTAGTTTAGGAGAAAAATGGAAAATAAGAATCTTTTAATACATCTAGCTCTTTACACACCAAGATTGAAAGGAAGGAAGGAGGTAGAATACCCCGCCTTTCGGCTAACTTGCGGTATAGGATGCTGTCCGGAGACAGTTTCATAAACCCGATGTCTTCCCTACAACTATTACTAGCTGTAGCTCTGGATAGAAGGCCAGCCTGACCTAGAGTTCTTTCGCTCAATCGCTTCAGCTCACTGTGGTTAGTACACACTGACTAACCACATAGTAGCTACGAAGGCTGTATGTCGTAACGTAGTCAGCATGTTATCGGACGGCTGATCCGAGGCAAACAATCGTTAATGAGTTGTCTAAGGTCATTCCATGTCTGGTGGTGCTGAGGCTCGAACACAGTATCTTAAGGATACGTGCCAAACAGCTTACCCACACAACCATAGCGGTGAAGATTGACCATCTAGAGAAGATACGGACTTTATCAACTGAACGTTTAGAAGATTTACACACAGTAAAAATAGGATCACACGACAACCAGCCTCGATCGAGTCGATTCATTAAGCCGAGCGCAACGCAGCTGACTTCACCTACACCTGCAGCAAAACGAAAAGAGGTCTCGCCAAATGGTCCAGCGAAATACTAAAATAATACTGTTAATTATCAGTCTTACTTTGAAAAGCAGGTTTCATGTTTAAGATTTCAACATCGTTTTTTTTCTCTAAAATTGACTAGTTTTGATTACTATTAGGATTATCACAAGTGACATAGTGTCAAAACATGACTCTTCTTTTAGACTGCCTTATTTGGTTAATTACTTTGTATAAGTAATTCATCGTTCTTTTTTAAAGATGGGAAGAGAAACATGTCTTTCATTTAGAGTAATTTTTCTGTATTTATTTGTCCGTTGTTAGTTGATCTTTTCAGTCATCGGTTCAGTAACGCAGGTGAAAATGATGATATTTCTAATAGTATTTTGACAATTCCTATATGGGCATAACATTGTTACTATTAAAGAGCAACAATAAAAATAAGAAACTTAAGTGTAATTGCGGCTGAAACACCCTTAATTTGATTAAGCATAATTAAGAGTTTATTTATAATAATTAAAAACTTTTATTATTGGAACACGAATTTTCGACCTATTTATACAATCATTATCAAGACAAAATATCGTACAGAGCGTTACGTTAAAGAAAAAACAAGACCAAACAGTATATATTTATAAGTATATATATGTATATACAGAGAGAGAGAGGGATTGCTACTATTTTATTTCTATAATTCTCCACTTTTCACTTTAGTTCTTTGTCAATTTTTCTCGAATTTCGATTCTATATGGCATTCCATTTGTATGACGTGGGTACGTAAGAAGTTCTCACGCGTTGGGATTCTTATGTACCCACGTCATACAAATGGAATGCTATAAGTACGATGACTTATACAGCAATTCGCATATGTTCAACATACCCGTTGTTGGATAAAGAGTTTAGGATAATTCGAGAGCTAGCCAGAACAAACAGTTATCCCAATAGTTTCGTTCAGAAAATTATTAATGAGAAACTCTATCAATATTTTAATCCACAAGGAACTATTAGCACGGCGGAAAAAGAAAAACTTGTCTTCAAAATACCATACTATGGACAAGCGAAGTATTACATATGGTAATAGAATCTCAGCAGCTGTACAGAAGAACTACTCTCTAAAAAAAGTATTAGTGGTATATGATACTCAGAAACTTAGCAAGGGATTCGGCACTAAAGATAAAATTCCTATTGTCCTACAATCTGGCCTTGTTTATAAAGCCACATGCCCTGTTTGTGGTGAATATTATATTGGAAAAATATACAGACATTTTTGTACAAGAATGGATGAGCATCTTAGTGATCTGAAAAAAGCTATGGAAAATGCACAACCAATGGTAATGACATCAAGTTCTGCTATTTTACCCAGTAATTCAACTAACTGTACAGTTTCGAACAGCGTGTCGAGCGGCAGAATCACAACGGTTAGCAGTAAAATTAAAAAACATAGCGATAAAACATCTACAAATACTAGTCGTGTCTCAATACAAATTTGCCAACGGCGCCCAGTTACTCGCTTTCAGACGGGTAGCTTACCGCTGCGAACGGAAAAACTTGACGCAGCTGAGGTTGAAAAAACATGCAATACTTTATGTGATCTAAAACAAAAATCTGCACATACACCCAAAATCAGCAATAAGCAAACATTATTCAACCACAGGCCACGTTATCACAGGTAATGACTTTGAAATAGTATTAAGGGAAAACCATCGTTATAAACTACTAGTAAAAGAATCGCTAGTCATTAGGGCAATTGCTCCCTCTCTTAATGGCACAAATCGTTCCGTACCATTATATGTATATTACAATAGTATTCAACGAGCTCTATGGGATAGAAGAAACATCGAGCGTAAAGGCTCAGGACTGTAAACAACAAGAAATAAAATCACGCCATATAGAATCGAAATTCGAGAAAAATTGACAAAGAACTAAAGTGAAAAGTGAAGAATAACAAAATGGAGAATTATAGAAATAAAATAGTAACAATCCCTCTCTCTCTCTGTATATACATATATATACTTATAAATATATACTGTTTGGTCTTGTTTTTTCTTTAACGTAACGCTCTGTACGATATTTTGTCTTGATAATGATTGTATAAATAGGTCGAAAATTCGTGTTCCAATAATAAAAGTTTTTAATTATTATAAATAAACTCTTAATTATGCTTAATCAAATTAAGGGTGTTTCAGCCGCAATTACACTTAAGTTCTTATTTATATGAGCTTAGTTTTAGAAAGCTTATTTATGGCTCATTTTGTAGCGTAGAGAATTCTCTACCTGTTTGTAGATGAATTCTTGTCAAATGATTCTGAAATTAGATGGAAACATTGAGGAACAACGTGAGTGATCATTGTTCAGATGATGACGAAAAATGAAAAGAAAATTTTTTTTAAGGAGACTAGGAGCAGTTTTTGAGCGTGGACAGTGCTGGGAAGTGAAAACGTATTTGCCATCATTTTTGCTCAAAATCATATTGAGCTATTTTCTAATAGAAACCGTTTTCCGTCCTTTCTTCATACACAAACAGCGTGTTGATTGTTAACTAATAAAAATACTCGTTTATGATCGGATAGATTAACGTGAGTAGTATTACTAATTTCGAAATGAGTAAACGGGATGAAAAATGAAAAACTTTTTGTACAGTTGCTTATAAAATGTACGATATCTTCCATAGTTAGAATGAGTACACTGGTATAAGGAGAAACACGACTGAATTGTTTAAATTACCCTACCATCTCAGAAATTATCTCTGACTCCGTACCGATTTTGGCCAGACCTTTCATAAATGTTATATTTAATGAGTTACGGGAATTAAAAGTTTTTTTGTCTCTGAGTCTGACGATTTCGCCGTTTTCCAGAGGTCAAGTTCCGAAAACGACCCTGAAGTTTTTACCAAGATTTTTTAATATACTTCAAACTGGAGAGTTCGGGTTTGTTTTATTTTATTAAAAAGTTATTGTCTCAAGTAAACTGCACAGATCAGTTCGCTAAAGACAATGTATTGATTAGAATAATCTAGAATGAAAACTATGATACGTATTTTTGCTCTCGTGCAGGACAAGAAAAAAATTTATGTATTAAGGGTACCAATCTAGCCTATGCATCGCGTTTTGAGTGGCGTCACTATTCGCGCCAAAATGCGAAAAGTGATTTGAATCAAGAAATACTTTGCTGACCGTCGATTCATATAATAAGCTCTTCAGAAAAAAAATTTGAACCGATTCTGCGCTCCGTATAAAATACACAAATTTTTTTCTTGTCCTGTACGAGAGCAAAAATATGTATCATAGGTTTCATTCTAGATTATTCTAATCAATACATTGTCTTTAGCGAACTGATCTGTGCAGTTTACTTGAGACAATAACTTTTTTGTTTACCAGTGGTGCAATACATAGACAGTGTTGGTGTCATCTATCTACCAGGTAAACGAGAGAATACAAATCAAAAAGGACTAGTATAATGAATGATAGTTTTCTAGTTTTGCTTTTGTGTAGGCTCTAACTCAGTGTCTCTTTCTCTCGTCGAAAATAATCCCAACAATATTCTCTCTCTATCTCTTGTTTTTGTGATTCTTTATTAATTATTCAACTGAACGAACAAATCGGAGTCAATAAAGCATTCTGAACAAGACGAATGAACACCATGTTCAACTGTTATTGTTACATTACAGTTTACTCAAGTCCAGCACTAATAAACTGGTCGTTGAGTCGCTCTCATCGTGACCGGAATAAGAGAAAAATAATATGAAAGAGAAATAGGGAGAAAAAGCTGCTTATTCAAAACTATTTGCTGAAATGTAGCGGAAAAAGGAAGCGTTTAAACTGGAACAAAATCTAAGTGCTTTGAAACGCAGACAAATAAAGTGGGCGTTTAAATGTAAACACAATAATTAATGGTTCGTTTAAACGTGTTTTTTTTTTTGTTTTTTCTGTATTAAAAATAAGCGTTTAAATGGGAAGATGTAAAGTCAACGTTTAAGCGTCGACCAAAATGGTTGACATTTAAACAGGACCTAAAAACGATTGCAATAGTATGTTACACTTAAATGCAAAAAGTACCGCAATTGGATACCGTCATGTCAGACCGAAGTTTAGAAAGTTGTCTCCGGCAGTTTTCTTCTTTGCGAAACAGAATTCTCTGGATACATTCGGCTTGATAGTCCATCAATACATATTGGAGAAATTATATGCCTGAAACCTGCCCTGGGGCAGAAAACCAATGATGACCAATGATGAGTCCATCAATTTTGCACTACTTGAGTGGAAAAGCGAATAATTCCTTTCCAGTATCTCCACTTTCGGTCACAACAAGCTGCAGGATATTCATAAACATTTGCTGTATCTCGATCATTTTAGTTCTGACGGATACATTAATTAAAATCATATACCTTTACTTTATACAGAATTGCGCAGTCTACAATATGCAATTGTTAGTCAATTCAAATTTTTCGACAGTTATCCTATTGCTTTTTACTGTTTATTCATCAAGAGGATTAATTCCACAATGTGGACGTAGCAAACATTGTTCTAAAGCTTTTGCTACGGTAAAGAATTCTGCTTATTTTAATAGTGATGAAATGCATGTTATGATAGCAATAGTCTATTATGAAAGTACCTGGGGCACACGTATGAGTCCAAATAGTAACACGGATGGTAGTACAGATAATGATTTGTTTCAGATTAATAATTATATATGGTGAAGCTCATCAGGCAAACAAACTGATTCTTGTTGTCCAGGTAAATCACCAGCATGTCGATCGAATCCTAGACTATGTACATGTAAGTCTGAATGCAATATTGGTTGTTCGAAAGCATTAACAGAGAATATTTTAAATACAAAATGTGCTGCGACTCTTATACAGCACGGACAGCATATAACTCAAATGATGCTGAGTGTGGTACATATAATATATGTAATAGTAAATGTTCATCTGGAAGTTGTTGTGCAGATGTCATTCAACCGACGCAGTTTAATCCCTACCCATCAGTCTTTGATTTTCGCGCCACCTGCGGAAAGAAGCGTCTTCCCCTCCTCTCCTCTAGATACTGGAATCTGTATTTTGGTGAACTGTCGAAAACCGCATCTCTTTATCGTTTGTATACCAGACGTTATTCTGAAACGAGTTTTCTGTATTATATTTTTTAATGGATAATACGTATTATGTAGCTTATCAACTTTTCACAATAAACGCATATTGACTATCTCAAGAAATATTATTTTCACTCCCACGTCTTGTGCTCCTCCTGCAGCTTTCGTCGATAAATGCTATGGAAGCTTTCCTGCTTTGCATAGACAGGATGAATATGGAAAATATAATTTCTGCTTATACATTTTTGTAGTTCAGACTTAGCTGTCTTCAACGAAAAATCAGTACACCTCTAGAACACTAAGAACCAGATGCAATATTCCTTGACCATTGTTTACAAACTTTTATATTGTACGCTATTATGTTTTTTGTAGTCGAACTACAAATCTAATACTCGAATTCAAGACGAATGATACATTTTTCTTTAGCTATATTATTATGATACAAAGAACAAAGTTTATAGAGTTTAATCGAAAGATATTCTAGATTAGCGATATTATTTGATTCTATTAACCATGTTTAGTCCATTCTGGTCCCAAACTATTAATACCGCCTGGTGGATCAGGAAGTTGCATAAGAGGCTGTCCATAACCAACCTGCACCATTCCAGGCTGAGGTTGAACACCACCAGCTCCCATTCCTACATTGCCACCAAAACCTTGTTGATTAAAACCGGGTTGTCCGGCAAAGTTTCCTTCAAATATCAAACTTAATATCAGATACGTCCATTTGGAGAATTTTCACCTTACCTCCAACCTGGTTGTAACCAACTTGTCCAGGAAGACCTTGTCCAGGAAGACCTTGTCCACCCATACCTCCTAAAATTAGATCGAGAATTTCATAATACATTAAGATAGTTTTTGTATACGAACCATACTGATTACCGGGATAAGCCATTATTATTTGTTTACGATTAATGCGGCCAAAACCATGTGTGTGTTAAAAATACTGTGTGATATAATAATGCTATGCTTTTAGTTGATAAATTCAGGAAAAAGAACTGGTCGAGCATGACAAAAACAGTCAGTATGATGTATAACAAATAACCTTGGTATGTTCAGTAAATATAGTTCGAACAATAGATGGGTTAGTGCAGGTGCATATTTAACACGTTGGGTGTTCGTGACGTATTGTGTAACTTTATGTATGATTTTATACAGTTGCTAATTAGTGCTAATTATTATTGATTTTACTAAAAGAAAAATTGCAGAAGGGTACCTTCAAATTTCTTGACTTTTTAATCTAAGAAGTTGCCAGAATAAACACTAATTTCATAAAGAGTACAATCTTTCGTTTGGATAAAACGATAAAATGTATTCTTTTCTTTATTTCTTGTTTTATATCTCACTCTGTAATGTGCATAGAAAGAAAAAACATTAAAGCAAAGAAAAATGAAACATAAAAGAGAACAGAAAAAAAGCGGCATCGTTGATGTCTACGGTTGAATATGTTACAGTGGAATTTAAAATTTCACTAGCGGAAATTATAATTTCAAACTCTACTAGTGGAGTTTAAAATTTCAATTTTCACTGAATTCATGTCAGTGAAAATTGAAATTTTAATTGAGTCATTTTGTAAGGTGAAGAATTTCAATATAGATAATAAGAGATACACAACCTTTTTCCATCATGAAAATCGACTATTTTCTGTTTGAGACGTTTCGTCTTTATTCAAAAGACATCCTCAGTCAAATGTGACAGACGAAAGTTGGTTTGAAGTTACCACAGTTAGTGATAGGTCATAATAGATATATTTTATGAAAAACTCGACATGCAAAAACTCAAATTAAATGAAAAATTACGTGATACGAATTCTGCAGTCAGACAACGGAAAGGACTTTGTGGCCAATGTCATCAAAGTAATTTGATTTTAGAGATTAATCTGGCTCAAATACAAGATCTTCCATTTTTTCAGGATTTAAAGAAAACATGAAAGGATCTCAAAAAATACTTGTGATTGTTAATAATATTTTCAATAAAAAAAGGGTATTCCTTTTACTATTAGCATTATGTCAGGCAAATTATAATTTCCACTATAGTACAGATTGAAATATGAGCGTTAGTCATTTTTGCCTAGTGGAATTTAAAATCCTACTATAGTAGAAATTAAAACTTTATTCTCCACTACTTGAACTTAAAATTTCAATTTCCACTGACAAGAATTCAGTGGAGATTGAAATTTTAACTTCAACTAGTCGAATAAATATAGATAATATCCCGTGAAAACTCACAGTGGAGAATCCGGATTCAAAAAGTGTCGGGACGCAGACGAGATTTTTGCGCCTTACAACGTAACTCATCGCGTTGATTCCGAATATGTAAAAATCTCAAAATCCAATTCTCTAGAAAAAACCAATGAAGGTCCTATTTAGCTCCCATTCAAACAGGACAAAAACAGATTTTCAGACATAATCTTTTATAAAATGATGCATCAAAGCCTGGATTTCGAAACAGCAAAAACTTGAACTCTCTTGATCTTTTTGTTGTTAAGATACTTGAAAAATAATCGAACCAATTGTTCTAATCGACGGAAAGTAGACAAAATTCAGTGTAAAAAGATGGGATTTCCGAAAATGAATTAGTTTCTACTTTTGAGAAGAGCCCAGTACAAAGTAAATAAGAATTTTCTGGCGTTTGAAAAGCTATTTCAAATGACATATTGTACGACCCGTATTATTCAACTGTCGACCTCATAGCTAACCATCTTGATTAGTTATAGGTTTTTGAGGTATTTTCTATTTCGTTCAGCCGAGAAACACTTTTGTTGAAAATTAATATGATATATGGGATCAGCGTCAAAAACTACATCGAATGATATGTCCGCCTGCTCTGTGGAAAAATGCCCACTGTGCAGTTGTTGTTATAGTAGCAAAGGAGAAGAAAGCAGGCTTAAATCCAGGTGGTTAACCCTCAGAGTCAAATAAAACTCATTGTACTTTTCTGATCGCTAAACTTATCTGTGCGTCACTGAAAGTTCACGTATACAGACCTGTAAAAAGTTTTATGGATTTACGTTGATTTAAATAGACCCGGAAAACAGGCTTTGTCTTCTGTTATCCATAGAATAAACGAAATTCTTCTGAAACAAGATAAATATACATGTATAACTCAGCTGTTCTTTAAGTATTCAACTTGAAAAATAACTCATTTTGTGTAGAATTTTGTCCTTTTTAGCGCATTACGTCAAAAAGGTTTTCCAGATTTAAGGAGAAAAAATGAAAAATATAATAGATGTCACCCAGAGCCGATGACTAGACCAGTGAGAAATCAATTGATATGAGCAGAAGAAACAGTCTGTTTTTTCGTTAATAAATGTGTCTGATGTAGTTTTGCACGCTCTTTCTAAAGGTAAGCTTAGAATTGAGTTTTGATCAAAAAGCGCGTTTTAATTGAATTTTATAGTAGTATCCGTAGTTCTCAATTTTATGACCTTTAGAAAGTACTTTTTTTAATTATTCTGTTTCCATTAAAAAGCGGAGACTTTGCTCTTTTGAATGGTATATTTGAAAGATCCGTTACTACTTGAGAAATGTCGAAAACCATAGAGATGTCCGGATACTTTTTTCATTCCAAAAGTCGACTGAGTGTATAAAAATACTCATTCTCATCGAGGGTCGTTAACCTTTTCAAGTGGACATAAATGTAGAGCAGTCTTCGCTCTATCGAACGATAAAAATATAATTTTCTTATCCCTTTATTTTACGAGCTAATGGGTTCGCAAGAGAAGCTTCTTACAGTGTCCGAATACTTCCTACGCACACTGTATGTAGCTCTCAGTATTGGGATTAACGTTTAAAAACTCCTACTTTCTTCTTTTATATCTTTTATATATAAACTGTTTTTGATCATCATAACTTTCCGGCTTTCTCTTCGGTTCGTGATAGTTAGATTCAGTGTTAGCGATTTACTAGCAAACTTGTCCTGTTCTCTATGTATAACACTAACTAGTAAGTATCAAGTAAATTTAATATGCCGAAGTTAAACGCAAAATAATCAGAGAAAGAGTGGAAAAAACACGAAGCAAAAATTATTTTTGTAATTTCGCTATGTTATGTACCGTATGAATATTCACTTGAATTAGATTTCTAATTCCCTGGTCGGATGATCTAAGTGTTTTAACGGCTAGGTGTGAAGAAAATACTTTAATATCAGCAAAGAACAACTTAATTTGCTAAAGCTGACTTCTGCATTCCGTCCATTAAGTCGGTGTAAGTACGATATGACACAGAGTACTGTGGAGGGGAAAAGTGGAACCTTTTCAATTTCTGTCGTACTTTTATTAGTTCTCAGTTATTTTTGGTCGGAAAAACTTGCTACTGAAGATGATGGGTGAGCGAACATTTTTCTACAGGTTGATGGAAAAATCTTCTAGAAACCTCTGACCACTTTTTAACCAGATCAAAAATGAGAAGAACCCCTGAAAGTGTCTCTTTTGCTCCCATTTGGGGAAAAAAGAGACACCCCTCTCAGACACATGAAGTTTTAATTAATAATCGAATGCTAAGTAGAGTCCAGGACGTCAAGCATAACCTGTCCTGTCCTGGCAGATTAGTACAGGTTTAGGATACGCCATCGCAGTTTAGGATAGGTTATAGGTTACGAAAATTTTTACAGGACAGGTCACGGGCTACACTACCCGTACCCTATTTTCAACCTGTAAAGAAAATATTAAGCGTCTTCTGTAAAGGGGAAGAAATAAGAACTCGAAAAATAGTTTTTATTAGTCAAAAAAAATATTTAGTACATCAGGAAGAGTATTGAAAACACGAAGACAGTCGTTGAATCCAGATGTTGCTGATAATATATTATTGATCAGAAAGGACGGGGCACGGTTTCTGCTAGAAAATGGCCCAATATGATTTTGAGTGAAAATGATCGGAACTGCTTCTCTTTTCACTTCCTACTTTCAAAAATTCCTTCTGGTGTCTTTCAAACAAAAATTACTTTTCATTTTTCGCCACCACTTCAACAAAAGCCATTTACCCTTTTCCGCAAATTTCTCGTCCGATTTCAAAGTCCTTAAGCAAAGCTCATATATAGTGACATAGAGAATTTTTCGGGCGTCCAAATGAGCTATAAGTAAGTGTTTCAAAAACATGCCCAGATGGGTCAATAGTCGGAATACTTGACCGACATTATCAAGTTCACCTATCTTAGCACTTTAAATGAATATTTCTTGAGCTCATCTACTTAGAACCGGAATGTTTTATATATAGAAAGATAGAGAACTTTCTAGGCCTTCTACGAATGCCTACAAAGGGCGTAGAAAATACTAAAACATTCCTGTGACAAAGCCTTATAGACAGCCTGGATATGTCTTATTTTCCCAGAATTCTTTGCTCTATCAGACTATATGGTTTGTAAAACTTTCTGACCAAAAACCAAGGACTTGTTTTTCCAGCGGTCAGGTTTTTATCAAATTTTCTCATGAAACGGCGATATGCACCTCATCTGATAGATAAACCTTCGAACTATCCAAAACAGTATTCAGACTGGTTTCAGCTTTTACTGAAAAATAAAAAACAAAGGAGTTCTTGTGATTATGACACACTGTACTGCATAGATAACACCCAAACGCTTCTCTTCGATATCGTTAATGACTGACCCGATCTGTCTGGACATTCTGAACAGCTCACTTTGTAGAAAATTTAAAGGGCAATCCAGTGGTATGTTTTTGAAATATATATATAATTTTTTATTAAGGCAGAAAAACGACTAAACGTGTGTTTAAAGAACTAAGATAGGTGAAAATTTTGACATCGGCCAAGTGTTTTGACTATTGATCTATGTGAGCATAGTTTGAAAGATTTATTATTTATTAGCTCATTTGGAAGCGTGAAAAATTCTCTATCCATCTATATATAAAGCATTCGATTCGGAGTAGATGCATTGAAGAAGTATTCCTTTAAAGTGTTAAGATAGGTGAAAATTATGATATCTGTCTGGTATTTCGCCTATTGACCCTATAGGGGCTATTTTTTGAAAATCTCGTTTTAAGCTATAAAGAAGGAAAAAAGGAAAAAATTTCGAACTTGGGTACTCATTTTTTGCAGTAATTTTTTCGCAGGACAGGACAGAACAGGATACGCAAAAAATATTGCAGGTTAGGACAGATTACAAATTACGAGGTATAAGGCTATGGAAGCGATATTTGAACTCGGTGTGTTCAATTGGCTTTACAATGAGAGAAATGAGCTCGATTGTAATAAATTTCTATTTTATTTATTTAAATGAGAGTTTTGAGCTCGGAAATTAATTTATACTCTGAAAAGATGAACTCGGTTAATTTTATTTTTGACAGTAAAAAGGGAGAAATGAGCTCAATTGTAATAATTTATGAAAATTAATTAATGATTGTATCAGTAGCAAAGTATACTTAGTAAGAAAAAAATAATTCAAGAACAACATAAATGGCAGACTACAATAGTTTTTCATTAATATTCAGTCTTTTGCTAAAGCTAATTTAACTTTCTTTGGACCATCTTTTTCCCGTCTTATTCCAAGTGGTTGTGGAACTTTTCAATGATCCCACATCTATATTAAACTCAAGGACTAACGCCAGAATATTCTTTAAGGTCATATTTACGAGAACAAAATAATGGGGTTAAACAAGCAAAATTGGTCGATGGACTAAGATTTGCACTACTTCTATATCAAAATTGTAATGATAATAACCATTGGTCTTTAAAATATGATGTGATGTCATCATAAAGTTGCACAGTCACTTGGGATAAGACGGGAAAAAGATCGTCCAAAGAAAGTTAAATTAGCTTTAATAAAAGACTGAATATTAGTGAAAAACTATTATAACCTAGCATTTATGTTGTTCTTGAATTATTTTTTTCTTACTAAGTATATTTTGCTACCGATACAATCATTAATTCATTTTAATAAATTATTACAACTCATTTTAAAGCCCATTAAACACACCGAGCTCAAATATCGCTTTTTTTCCGAGTTCATTTATTATTTTATCCAAAAAATCATACTTTCTTATTTTATATTCAACAACTAAATAAATTCTTTTTGATTATTATGACTTTTCGGCTTTCGCTTCAGATCATGATAATCGGAGATAATGTGTGTTCAAACTATACTTATTCAGTGAATCACACATAATCTTGGTAGAAAATAAAATTAAGTAGAAACGAAATATCAAAATAGATTAAATAAAAATTTTGTGTTTTATTTCTATAACTCGGAAAATTGACAACATTCGTAAATCATGAAATTATTTTAACGCAAAAAACTATGTTATCAAACAGGATTTGAGGCTGTATGGAGCTGTTACCCTTTTCCTTGTCGTTGAAATAGTATTTACGAGTGAAAAAAATATTTTTTTCTTCTCTTATATTCAGTTTAAGAAAAAAATTCTACAAGCTAGTCACTTTATTTGACTTCAGTCCTGATTCGTCAACAAATTAAAGCCAATTAAGAGATTTTATTGTTTCGTCGACGTAAATCTTTTTTTCGTTTCGTCGACACTTTAAAATTCCTATTTGGTCAACAAAATTTTATTCCTGGTTTGTCGACAATTTTTTTTATCCTAAAATGTCGTCCAAACTTGGCAGCGTATAAAAGTAATTTCCTAAAAGTCGACAAAATTTTCTTTTAGTAGAATTTATAAACTGAACAGTGCAATGAGTGACTTAGCCATATGGGCTATATGAATAATAACTATAGTGAATTTTCTTCGACTTTGCATATCATTGACTAGAAAGTATTGAAACGAGTTAAAATTAATAAGTAATACAATAAAATGTACTCAGTTATCGAAACACAGAAAGGAAAACTATGTTTACTATTTAATGGCGTTGTGAGAATCAGTTGCTCTGGTCGTGCTACACAAGAAGACAATAGTGCTCCAATTCGTACAGCATCACACAATTACGAACCAGATGAAAAACGTAATGCCTGTGAAGAATTTCGAACAAAACTACTATTTTTCTACTCATGTGTATGCATAAGATTAATTACGTAAGAAAAAGTGTCGACAATTAAGAAATTATTGGGATTAAAAAGTATATCGACCGTTTTGGCAAAAGACAGTATCGACAATTAAAGACAACTGAGGGCCTATCGACGAATCGGAAATATACTCTTTATTTGTTTTCTCGAATTTGCATTGATAATACACAGTTAGTGAAAAAGTGCTTTTCAGCGCGTCCGGGAGACTTCCTGAAAAACCTGCCGAAACTTTGAATGAAGATCTTATTATCATGGGTTCTGGCAGCAGACACCTTGGGCTATCCAATAATATGCTTTGCTCAATACTGACTTTTTTTTACACAAATTTCGTACCTCTGAGAGAGGGTGTTAAATTTTATTTAGTCTATGTACTCCACATCTAAGATTCATGATACCTGTTGTTTTGCTGACGGAATTCATCATTCTTTTCTTTTAGTATTATCAGTATCTTCCTTTATGACCCTAGTAAAATTTAATCAAGGTAACCTTGAATTTCTCTTCAAGACTTGATAAAATACTTCATAAAATATGGATGAACCTGTGGATTTTATAAATGTATAGAATATATTACTGATTAAGTTTTATCGGAGCATAAATGCGACTTTATTCAACTATTTTATCGAGTCGTGAAGAGAAATTCATAAATATCTCGATTAAATTTTATTATAGTCATAAAGAAAGATATTGCAGTAGCAACATGGTCTAAGAGCCTATTGCTGGGGCACTACAACTCAAAAGACACTTTAGCGGAAAACTTACTCGAATCTTATTAAGATCCTACTAAGATTTCGCTTATATTTATCTAAGATCGTGATTCTAAATTCTAAGATTCGATAAGATTTTTCTGAGACTTTACTAAAATTATACTGTCTAAGATTTTTGCAAGATTGGATAAGAATCTGTTAGGATCTTAATAGTAAGAACGGCGACGTTTTTTAAATAATATTAATCAGAGATACGCTGAAAATTTTTCAGTTTTTAATCCGCATTATCTAAAGCAACAGTTGAACATTGTTGAAGAGAAACTTCATATTTTCGGGTGTCCAACTATATGGACCTTGACCTGCATGTAAACTCTCCAAACGGTTGTTGAACATTTTCGAGAGAGCAAGTACTAGCAGAGTCTGGAAGAACAATAATCATAAAATCACTCGTATTTTCGGTGTTCCTTTTAGAGTTGGATGAGAGTCAAACAAAAGGGGTGAATGAAAGTAGAGTCATTAAATCTTATTAAGACCTTAAACGATAAGATCTTAGATATCTTCTCAAAATCTTAAATGACAAGATCTTATAAGATCTTAGTAAAATAATTTTAAGAAGTGTCCGAGATTTTTACTAAGGCAGTCCCAAGTTTCGTTGTCTCGAACCGGTCGTTGTAGCACTGGCTGTTGAACCCATACTAAGATGTTTGTCTACTCCATCTACCTTCATCTTTCTGTTAGAGCACTTGTGTTCTACGCAACCAAAAGGAGACAATGAGGACACGTGCATAAGAGTTTTTCAGTTTCTAACCGATTCTTTCTTTTTGTTTTCTGTCACCATATTAGTGTAATTTTCGATCAATACATAAACCTATTTGTTATAATCTTATCTTTGCATAAAATTGACATTTTTATTTCTTCTAAACATCTTATTCTCATTCAGTTACATAAACTAGAGAAGTTATTGAGAGATATATATGCTATATTCTTCATCATAATACATGCCTTATAGAATATATGTTATTCTATTTTGCTTAGAAAAGCATTAAAATTAATCAATTGCTTTTATATAATTAAAGCAGAGTTGTTGTTCGAAGTACTTGTTTATATGAAAGTATTTTTACAAGTTTTTAAATCAACTTCAATACATTTTTACTTTTATGTTTGACATTCAATGACGAATAAGATGAAAACTAAGTATATATGTCAATAACTTCACCTGATATCTTAAAAAGGTAAAGCATAAAATGTAAAACATTTTGTTTAATATCATAAAATGGGTTGTGGATCGTCGGTTAAAGTACAACCATTAGCTGAGAATCCAAAACCGAAGAATGTAGAAAATACAAAACCGAAGACTGTAGAAAATACAAAATCGAAGAATGTAGAAAATACAAAACCGAAGAATGTAGAAAATACAAAACCGAAGAATGTAGAAAATACAAAACCGAAGAATGTAGAAAATGATGATAATGATCTGTCTAAGAGCAGACGTCGGAGAACCAGTGTTGGTGAAAGTATCATTAGACGTCGAAAAGATAGTACAACTTCAATTGTTACCCTTGATCCCAGACTTATTGTCGATAATATTCATACACAAACTAGTATTGTACCATTAGATCCCGATGCATTCAATTCAAAACTCCGAAAACAACGGCAAGCTGCAATTGAAAATGATTTATATCGAAATGCTATTAATTCATGGCAACCTACTTCTATAGAACATCTTGTGAATCTAATAAAAACACTTTCGTTGAATAAAAGTGATGTTGACAAAACATTTATTATCTACTATTGGATTTGTCAAAATATTGAATATGATGTTATATCGTATTTTTCTAAAAATTATGCTGATCAAACAGCTGAAGGTGTATTTCGAACAAAAAAGGGGGTTTGTGCAGGCTATGGTAATATCTTTCAACGACTTTGTGATGGTGTTAGCTTACAATGTGTCAAAATAAGTGGTTATTCTAAAGGTTATAAATTTGATCCAAGAACTACCACATTCAAAGAAACCGATCACGCATGGAATTCTGTCCAAATTGATAATCATTGGTATATCATTGAATCAACATGGGGTGCCGGAAACTTGAACGATAACAAACAATTCAAAAAACAGTTTGATCCTTATTACTTTTTCTGTCCACCCGAGGAATTTATTTATGATCATCTGCCCAAGGATGAAAAATGGCAGTTACTCGTTCGACCGATATCAATGCAAGAATATTTATCGATGCCTGTTACATGGTCATCGTTTTTTGAATTAAAACTGGAACTGATTTCATCTGAATCGAATATTTTACAACTCATTAACGGCAAACCGTACGCTCAAGTTCAAATTCGTTCACCGATCGAAGTCGATATAACGGCGAACTTAAAATTAAATGATAAAAAAATTGATGGTGGTGACCGTGTTTGTTATGATCCTAAACAAAAAATATGGTGTTGTTATTTTGCACCACAATCAGACGGCCCCCACGAAATAACCATTTATGCAAAACGGAAAAATCAACCAGGTAGTTATAAATCAGCAGTGAAATTTAGTCTTGAAGTTCTTAATCTAACAAAACCAATTAGTTTTCCCGGTCTGTTTGACACCTATTATGATCTCGATTTGAAAATTGTTCAACCAAAATTTCAACATACAATTCAACTAAAAAATGATGTTGCATATACTGAAATACTTCTTCAGGCACCAAAAGATGTGAAGTTGATAGGTGACTTGACAAATCCTGAAGGTAAAAAGGTCGATGGTGGTGAACAAGTCTATTTTGACAAGCAGAAAGCATTATGGCGATGTTTATTTGCGCCACAATCAAATGGTCTCCATGAAATAACCATTTATGCACAGAGGACAAATCAATCAGGTAGTTATAAATCAGCAGTGAAATTTAGTCTTGAAGTTCTTAATCTAACAAAACCAATTAGTTTTCCCGGTCTGTTTGACACCTATTATGATCTCGATTTGAAAATAATCCAACCAAAATTTCAACATATAATTCAACTAAAAAATGATGCTGCGTATACTGAAATACTTCTTCAGGCACCAAAAGATGTGAAACTGATAGGTGACTTGAGAAATCCTGAAGGCAAAAAGGTCGATGGTAGCCACCGACTCTATTTTGATAAACAAAAGGCATTATGGCGATGTTTATTTGCTCCACAATCAAATGGTCTCCATGAAATAACCATTTATGCAAAACGGAAAAATCAACCAGGTAGTTTTGAAGGAGCAGTAAAATTTCGTCTTCAAGCTCATAATCTAACAAAACCAATTAGTTTTCCCCGACTATTGGATACCTATTATGATCTCGATTTGAAAATTGTTCAACCAAAATTTCAACATACAATTCAACTAAAAAATGATGCTGCGTATACTGAAATACTTCTTCAGGCACCAAAAGATGTGAAATTGATAGGTGACTTGACAAATCCTGAAGGTAAAAAGGTCCATGGTGGTGAACAAGTCTATTTTGACAAGCAGAAAGCATTATGGCGATGTTTATTTGCTCCACAAAAAACCGGTTTACATAAAATTAACATTTATGCCAAAAAAGCGTCTGACAATTCTACCAGCTATTCTGCAGCTCTTGAATTTAATCTTAATGTTCAACAGTTACCATCTAACATAATTTCATATCCGAATACTATGTCCTTATTTTATGATTACGATTTAAAAATTATTGCACCAAATAATAGTCGATTTGCCACATGGCCCAAAAATGCTTCGTATACTGAAATTCTACTTCGTGCTCCCAACAATATTCAGTTATCTGGTCATATTTTCTATGATAATCAAGCAATTGATAATGGTAGTCTTATTCAGTATGATCATGACAAGCAGTTATGGCAATGTTTGTTTGCTCCGCGAAATACGGGTTTACATAAAATAATAGTATTTGCAAAAGAAAATGGAGATTCTAATACTTCACAGTCTGTCGTTGACTTTGATTTAGATGTGACAAATTTAAAACGTTCCATAGCATTTCCTAAAACATATGCTTTATTTCAAAAAAACAAATGTAAAATATATGAACCATTTGAAATGAAAAAAGGCTCTAATGTTACTTTGCATTGCCGAATACCTGATGCTAATAATGTTCGAATACTATTTGATTCAAAACCAGAACGGGAACAAGAAGATGATTACGAAAATAATATTTTTAAACGACAAATAACGGTTCCAAATCAAAATGTTGTTATTATGGGTAACTACACGAACGATACAAGTTATTCATATCTTATTCATTATACAGTAACATAATCACAGTCTAAAAAACTTTAATCAAGTACTATATAAATTTATTATGCTGTTTTGAGAAATTTTTCTTAGGCCTTGTAAAATTAAATAGTTATTAATTTCTTGATATTCCTTCCAACGGTATTCAGCTGTTAACCTATGTAACGTGACAGGACGGTGTGGAAGACATAAATTTTTGGTCCAACAATAAAATTGGACAGAATCGTAGAGTTGTAGAGAATTGAGCTGTGAACTATTTCAACAATTTTGTCTTTTAAGACATTTAACAGCATAGGACTTACGAGTTTCATAGGACAAAGACACTCGTACAATCACAAGAACATATGATCGTTAACGCTTCATACGTAATTACTCTAATCCCATCAAAAAGACCCTTAAATTCAATACTCATCAGATTCTTATACATTGATAAATTGAGTACATTCTTCTACATACACATATATGTATAGAGATATAGTCTCCATTTTCCAAACACATATATGTAGACGCATAGAATTTATACTGAGATGCCGCTTGAGGCGAATACATTCTTATTCATTGTCCATTTGCTTCAATCACTACTGATTGTGCGTTAATACTAGTTGATTGAGCGGCGATGGAGTGGTAAATATTGAGTGGTAATCTGGACTGTAATTTATTTTCCAGCCGTATGAATAATGACGCCATCTTCATCATCTTCACACTTCTTTCTTTACTATTTATCTTATCTTACACACATTATATTCTCATATATTTCGCAAAGTTAATAACAAAAGTAAAATGACGTTTGTTATCTAACAAGAGTAAAAACTAATAAAAAAAACGTATTCAGTTTAAAATTAAAAGTCATGCGTTATTACTTTGTTTTTCTACTATTTTTATTAATTATCCCTGCTATTTTAACTCAATCATGGGTTGAAATGTATATCTATTCTGGTCGACCAAACCCTCGTTGGTTTATTAGTATCAACGACTGGGCACAATTAAATTATCTAATTTCTACACTACCGTCGAAAAACTCACGCGATCAAGAGGGTTCCTATCAATTAGGAGGCGTTGGTCTCGGCTACAGTGGATTTCACGCTCACAATATGGCTGCATCAAGTTTTTCGGACATCTACTATGTTGCACATACAAGGCAAGTAGTTGTATCGAATCCCAGTAGTCACAGAAGTATAAGTGATCCGCGTAAAATCGTCGAGAGTTGGTTTAAAATGAATGCCAGAAAATATAACGTTAATCTCAGACTATAGTTTTAGTTGACGGAAAATAACGTAGACATTCTAATATAATATTATTTTATTTGTAATACATATATAGTGCTATAAATATAGTTTAGTATTTAAAAGTCCGACCTTCTGGATATCATAAAATAGTAAATAATCAATTACTTGAGACAGAAAATCTCTAGGTTAAAATGAAACTTTAGTTCACAGTAGGCCACAAATTAAATGATACGTAATAATAGAAACCTTAGGCTTTGTTGGTATTGATCTTAAATGAAAACTAATTTATTTTACTATAGATGTAATCATACATAGTTTCTTTAACAGTGGTTTCGCTATCTGAGCAGGATGATGGAGCACGGTTTAGGTGACGTTTTTGTTTTACGCTTAACACAAGCAATAAGTTTGTGATACGTCAGGTACATTCCTGAAACGTGGTTTAAATCTATGGGCATACTAGATTTTTCCAAAATTTTTCGAATTTTATGGTGTTTCCAATCAATTTTAATCTCATCTGATAATGTTGATGCGCTTAGTCTAGTACTATTCTACTCACACCAAAAGATGAAATTTAAGTCCTCCAGATTCTAGCAATCAGAAAGCAGTCAGCTCAGAGTTGGAACCGGGCCGGCAGACCAGTAGGTCGCTTGCCGACCCGATTCGGTGTAAACGTTCAGACCGACCGGTTTTTTGAAAATATTGTATCTTTATTGAAAAACTGCACTTTCTTTTTTCTTGAATTTTGTGCACTGTTATGAGGATGGTCAACTTCAAGTAAAAACTTGAATTTTCATTGAAATCGTGTCAACACATAAGCATATAGGTAAAAAACGATGTAGAACTCAATGGATGTAAAATTAAGCTGTTCAAAGGACTCAGAAGCTATCTAGGGGATCTCTGGAAAGCTTTTCTCTAAAACTTAGGCTTTTAATGTGGATTTTTAATGTGAATGTTTCCCCTTATTTGACTGTGTCAAAGCAAAGGGGTAGTGTTAGAGTATAATGTATTCAGACCTTTTTGTTTTTCGCTCTTTTCACTTTCATTCTGTTTAAGAGAAATATCTTCATTGTATTCAAGCGAGATGTTTTCGCTCTATTCATACTCATTGTAGTCGAGAGTAATATCTTCATTGTGTTGAGCAGAAACAGTTTCATCCTTTTTTCAAAAAATTTATAAAAAACTACTTCAACGATTTTGGAAATGACGTGCAGCCTATTAACAAGATAGACCATATGGTGATATTTTGAAAATGTTTTTTAGTAACTTATGTAAAGTAGAAATTTTCACACATAGAAAAATAACAAATACAAATATAAGTGTGGTTTGAAAAGTATCAATAGCAACAAGTTACAGTTGATAAACAGTGCTGTCAGGTTTTGCTGTAGTTTTTTCGAGATGTTTCTGTTTTATTTACAAATTTTGTTTGATCAATACAATTAATTAATTAACTACTCCTTTGCTTTTACACAATCAAATAAGGGGAAACATTCACATTAAAAATCCAAATTAACACCTTCACTGTCGGGCGAATAAATAAGGGATTTATCCTCAGCGCATGGCATTTCTTACCAGACGAATACGTCGAACACCGTATCTGACAACGGCGACAAACATTCCTAAATACGTCATACGACGCATGCGGCAGTGAAAGCGTTAAAAGCCTAAATTTTAGAGAAAAGCTTTCCAGAGATCCCCTAGATAGCTTCTGAAAGTCCTTTGAACAACTTAATTTTATATCCATTGAGTTCTACATCGTTTTTTAAAAGCCTTTTCCCTCACTGATATGGTGATTTGAATGAAGAAACGAAAATTTTTATCTCTTAACGAGAAAAACTAGATAGGTTTGGAAGACGAACAGGAGCTCTTTTCTGCTTCTACTCGAGTTTCCCAGAATCGGACTCCATTTTAACTACGGGAACTGTCGGATTCGGTTTTCTATAGATCAGTCGCTGTCATCAAATGATATCAAGCCACAATAATTTCAAAAGACTGAAACATAAACATGTGTATGGGACACAAAACGAAAACAACAGACGGAAGAAAAATAAAAGCAGGTTTGGTGTTAACCATGGGAGCTACGAAATGATGCTGTTCTAATCGACAACATGATCGTTTCCGTTTTATAGAGTGATTTTCTACCTTAACGGTCATTATCAGGTCTAAAACAATAATAAAACAGATCAATCTGTATCATTATATGTCCATGTTGGGACCTCAGAAAAGCATTACCAAAAGAAGATGACTGCTATTGATTAACGTAGACCAACAGTATGCTCATTTGACAACAATACAACTATCGAATATTGTTGTTGTTTATTGCTGTTTTATTTATTCTTATTTTTCTTATTTTTTAATTTTAGCTTTTTCATCTTTGAAACTTGGTCTCGTTCACAGTTGTTCAGTATTTTATATCTAAAAGTTTTGTATTATTTTAGACTTCATAATGATCATTAAGGTCGAAATTAGTCAGTACAACAAAAAATATCACGTTGTTGATTAGAACACCTGCATAAGCTTTTATTGCGATGGTTCTTTACAAAACTAGGGTCGAAATGGTAATCCGATGATGAAACATGCTCGATGGTTTTCACATTGTGCTTATGCTCGCCAGTTGTGTGGTGATGCTTTGTATCAAAAAATTCAAGCATCGAAACGAATTTCAAAGAATCTGAATAACACACTGCTGAAAATCGATTCAGTAGATTTACGTCTGCATTATACGATAGATTGAATAAAACAAAAATTTAATGAATTAAAAAACGATACGATATATGATATGAATGAACGTTATGAACTACGAATGAACATGCAACCTGAATTAATGGCGTTAAATAGCGATAAAGCATGAGAACGTGGACGTCATTTTATTTCAGATTTAATGCAACTTTTTTCTTAATTAGAAAGATAATCCGGGTGGTACTGAATCATAATAGTGATGACTGATGTACTGGGCTTCATTTAGGCATCCATTCTTTAACCCTTTGGGGACGGGTGACGTTTTAAAACGTCATTAAAACGTCAAAAATCGGAATAAGTCGTGTTTTCCAAAACTTTCTTTTGAAGAAACGTCTCTCAAAACTAGATCATAATCAAATTT